TAAACGAAAGCAAACTAGACATACATTAAAGAGATCTGCCGATAGAAGCACTTAAATCTTATAACTTATGTACACTAATTTTTTTGTGGTCTATTCGACATCCCTCCATGGGGTGATGTAAAATATTTAATCACCATTATAAATGATTTCTCATGTTATGTTATATTTATCTACTACATGAAATGACTCAATCATTGGACTATCCAAAGATATACAATGATGAGATGGAAACGTAGTTAGACAAATAAGTAAAAGTTGTGAGATCTACTAGAGTGGTGAATATTGTTGTAAGTTCAATGAAAGAGGATACTATCCTAGTCCATTTGCAAAGTTTCTTGAGATTTGAAATATTTGTGTGCAATACACTATAATTGAGACTCTTCAACATAATGGTGTTATTGAGAGGATAAATTGTACTTAAAGAATATGGTTAGGTGTATGTTGAGTAATTCAACATTAACGTTTTCTATGTGGATGCATGTATTAAAGACTGCTGCATATTGGGTAAACAAGGTTCCTAGTAAAGTAGTTCCTAAAATACCTTTTGAACTATGGAAGGGTAGGAAACCTAGTTTAAGGCATCTTCATGTTTGGGGGTGTCAAGCAGAAGTAAAAGTATGTAATTCACATGAAAAAAAAAAAAAAAAAAATCAATCCTAGGACAGCCAGTGGTTATTCATTGGCTATTCGAAAGGTTCTAAAGGATATAAGTTTTATAGCCCTAACCATAGTACGAGAATAGTTGATCCCAGCAATGCTCGGTTCATTAAAAATGATCAAATCAGTGGGAGTTTGGAACTGCAAAGTTTGGATGTCAAAGAAACTCGGGTGAACAGTCCAAACCCGAGAGTCCATCAATAGTTGTTATTCTTTTAATTACAGTACCGTCATGTAACATAGATGAATAACAAAATGATCCAAACTCACTTGATAATGAATCATCACAAGCAATCAAGAAATTATAGAACAACCTTTGGTTGATGAATCACAAGCCATGAAAAGTGAAAATTCTGGAGAAGTTGTCAATGCTATGAAAGAAGAATTAAAGTCAATGGATGACATTAAAGTCTGAAATTAAGTAGAATTACCTGAAGCGTCTAAAAGAGTTAGGTGTAAATGGGTTTTTTCGAGACCAAACACAACTCTAAAGGTAATATCGAAAGATATAAAGTTAAACTTATTTATAAAAGTTGCACTCAAAAGGAAGGCATTGACTACAAGGAAACATTCTCTCTCGTTTCGAGAAAGATTCCTTGAGAATTATAATGGCAGTGGTGGCTCGGTATGATTTTGAACTTTATCAAATGGACATAAAGATCACCTTCTAAATGATAAACTTAAAAGGTGTCTACATGAACTAATTAAAGTTTTGAGGTCACAGGAAATGAAAAGTTAGTGTTTAAGCTGAATAGATCTATATGCGGACTAAAACAAGTCTCTCGTCAATGGTATCTTAAGTTTAAAGATATCATCATTGCTTATGGTTTTGTAGAGAACACCGTAAATTGGTGTATCTACATTAAGGTCAGTGGGAGTAGATCTGTTATTTTAGTTCTGTATGTCGATGACCTATTTATAGTTGCCAATAATGTGGACATGTTGCACGAAGTAAAGTATTATCTCTCTGAAAATTGTGAGATAAAGGATATGAATGAAACGTCCTTGGTAATTGGAATAAAAATATTCCTGAATAGATCACAAGGACTAAAAGTTTATCCCATAAAAGTTTTATTTGAGTGATAATGGATGGTTGTTCCATAAGAAAAATTCTAATTCATAAAAGGGGTACATTTGGTCTAAAATAAATGTCCGAAAGGTGAAATGGAATGAAAGTGATGGAGGAAGTTCTTTAAATATAAATGATTAGGAGTCTTAAGTGAAACGAACTTGTACTAGGTTTGATAACATATTGTTGATGGTACATTAAACAAATATATAAAAGTAATCCCTAAATTATTATTTAAAGGCTGCAAAAAAATTTTGAAAGTATTTACAAGGCATTAAAGAACACATGCTAACTTAAAGAAGATCCAATTTATTTGTTATAATTGGATAATCTGATTCAGACTTTTGCTATAATGTCTAAAGGAGCTAGATTATGGAGAAGTGGAACAAAGTCTATCATTGCGACTTCCACAATTAAGTTTGAGTTTGTGGTGTGCTTTGAGACCACAATTCAAAATTTATGGCTACAAAACTTTATCTTAGGACTTGGAAATGTTGGCATCTTGTCCAAGCCGCTAAGAAATAACGTAGTTTTGTAGCAATAAATACTTGGTCGTAAAATATAAGTGAAGAAATAAAGTGTCATTTGAGCATTAGTACAAATTGTATGAAAGTGGATCCATTAAAGGGTTATTCCCTATAGCCTTTGCAAGGCATATAAAGAAAATTGAGAATAACGAACGGGGCCTTGGTGGACTGACCGTTACATAATGAAATTGCTCAATTAATGATTTTGACACTTATTGAATTCTATTAAAGATGTTTGGTTCTTCACATACAATATCATCATTATAGATATTTGATTTTATAGTATATACATAAAAGTTGGATGACTTATGGTTATGGTACAAACTGTTTGTTCCATATTAAAGTAGAGTTGAATTAGAAATGATTTGTGGTACATGGAAGGGATCATGTCGCTCGAAGACTTGTGACCGCCATGACTCGGTTAATTTCTAGTTTGATTTTAAACTTATAGATATATGTATTCAATTATAAGTTTGATGAAAAGTGCGCGCTTAAAATAGTTCTTTGGGTTTCGACACTTATATGGTCCAAGTGGGAGAATGTAATAATATTTTATATTATTCTATTATTGTGGACCATATAATTAGTTGGACTTAATTGAATTAATAGTCAAACTTAATTAAAGAGAATATGCATTTAATAGATTATTAATGTTCTAACATTAAAGAGTCCAATTTATGATGTTTGACTTGGACAATAAGTTAGGTTAGAACATGGGGAATGTTAGTAGGATTGGGATTGTATGTCTCCTTCTATATACATTACTACATGTCCCTCTCTCTCGGCTCATACAAAAATAGAGTTCTCAACATCAAGAGCTTTATGGAAAGACGAGAGACGTGTGAGAGAGAAACAATTCATAGGCAAAGATAAACCAATGATGGGAGATTACGGGAAAGAGATCGTAAATCAACCTCATGAATCAAGAAAACAGGGAAGGACTATAAGCTGGATTCTTGTAAGTTCTACGTGCAATTTAATTTATGCAAAGATTCCTATTCTATGAATTGATAGAATTACATGCTTAGGGTTTATTCAATTCCGCCTAATAGTCATGAATATACCCGTTAAATTTCTTACAGGCAGCACATGGATACTCCACTAAAGATGATCTATTTGAGGCGGAACAATGTTGTGCTTCCACAATGCTCAGGTTTTGTCCTTCCAGTTTTCCTGAGGAAGCAACGTTATGATTCCACAATGATCAGGTTTTGTCCCACCGGGTTTTCCTGATATCTGAAGCACCAGTACCTGATGGTTACAAGATACACTTCAAGATGTTCAGAATGGACATTGTTCAAATCAGTTAAAATTTGTTTAGAAAATAGTTATTCAAGAGGGAGTGTTATGAAATAATAAAATAATATATGTGAACGACTATTTTGCCCTCGATGTATTTGTATTATTACAAGTTGAGCTTCAGTTATAATGAAAATCGTACCAAGAGAATACATTCTCTCTATTCTCTCTCTTTCCCTCTAGTTTTATAACATTCTTCATAATTTGTGTTATATTAATTTAATTCTCGCTTTACATTTTAACTCGAAATAATTACACATTGCCTACCTAACTATCCGGAAATTTATACTTTGCCTACAAAACTTTTTTTTTTACACTTAACCTACCTAACTTTATTTTTTTGTACACTTTGCCATTTCCGGTCATTGCCGGCCACACGTGGCAATCAGACACAAAAGCCACGTGTTGGATTATGAGGCCGGCGGTGACCGAAAATGGCAAAGTGTACAAAAAATGCAAAATTAGGTAGGCTAAGTGTAAGAAAACAAAATTTTGTAGGCAAAGTGTAAATTTCCGGATAGTTAGGTAGGCAAAGTGTAATTATCCCTTTTAACTCTGTATTAAGACTTTGTTAATTTCCAACGTCAAGAATATCGTTTGAGCTAAAAACCTATAGAAAGGACCCACGAGGTCAGATCCAACTTACCATTTGTAGCTATTGCCATATAAGTCCAATGAGTATTTTCTTTTGCATCCATTAAACGTGTTACAACACCCATCATGCCCCGATGCAGGCCCAAGAAAGATACAATTCAAAGTAATATATTAGCATGATCCTAGAAAAAAAAAGTAAAATGAAAAATCGGTAACCCACACATTTATGTTGCGTTGCACTCTCGGGAACCCACATTTCTTTGGCTTCATTAAAAAAAATTATATCACTTAAAAAATAGACTCAGTATAAAAAATATATTTTTCAGTGCAAGTGCATGTGGACTGTGTCTGCTGATGTGCCGTCAAGAATAAATGAGCCGATTTGTCCGTAAGTCTATTTTAGACTAAAGTAGAGACGTAATCTCTCTGCATTGATGTGAATTTTATTAATTTTATATAGTTTTATCCATGTCATTCAAGACTTGAATTTATTTACATGTTACATAAAGAAAACTAGACCCAATGCATTAGAGCATCTACAATGCATTGAGACTAATTTTTCCTATGTAGCATGTAAATAAACTAAAATCTTGCATGACATGGAAAGTTATGTAAAATTAACAAATTTAACTCCAATATAAAGAGACTAGACCTCTACTTGAATTTAAAATAGACTTAAGATATATCGGGTCTCTTTTTTCTTGTTGTCACATCAACGTACCTAGTCTAATTGCACCTGCATTAAGAATATATTTTTTTTAAACTGGGCCTATTTGTTAGGTAACATATCAATTTTTTTAATTGAACTTAAAGCATTGTGATGCTCCTTCTTCTTCCTTGAAATGACGAAAATACCACAGTTGATTATCCTTCGTTCAATTAACCTGGACAAAAAACGTTCTAAGGCGGCATAGGGCAATATAGTCTTTTAATTAGATATGAAGGCACAAATTAGCGATCAAGATAACACAATTCACCACCAGTAACGAAATTTTTCTAGAGCTAAAAGTTTTTCCTTTAGTGAGGGCGAAAGGAGCACAAATGGGTTCTCTTAGCAAGGTATGCAACTTCTTAATTTGTTTGGTTCATTTTTTTCGATTCCGTGTCTGTCAATTTGTTTTTAATCAAATATAATGCGCATTGATTGTCGCTTTGTTTTCTAATTCGTTTCAAACCGATCATGTTTCGTGCTTGTTTGAGCTGTGAATGATGTAAATCAATTATCAAAATCTTTCCAAAGTCCTCTTGAAACTAGATCTTCTCTGTTCCCGTCATGAAAATTGTCTGTGTTTTCTATGACGTTTCCTTTTTATTTTATTGCAAGATTTTAGACTTTAATCTCATTATCACCCCAGACCCCTTCTTGTTTCTAATAGGAGCTGTAGAATTTTCATTTCTTAAATCATATGTCTATTTACATACAAGGTATGTTGGATTCATGTGTTCTCCGTGCCATTTTTGTGAATCATATTAGCTTAGTGTTGGTTGACCATCCTAGCATAGGTTCTAAAGGTTACAATCGTTGCAATTCTTATTCATGTCGGATAGAATCAAGTTCCCCAATTGAGTTCATCTCCTATAATTTTATAATTTTCTGTGTTAAGGTTAATATAGGTATGATATTCAGGTTTTACCATTTTTCTTAGCAGCTTATATGATAGTTAGAGACTTTTGATCAGTCTCGTTTTGTAGCTTTTATGTGATGTCTTTGCACTTTCTCTTTTAATGGTGCTACTGATACTGGATTTCAGCTTGTACTAGTATTTTTGGTTCCCTAAATTCTAAAGCGATTGTGCCATTTGAGTTGTTTCCACTATTATAAGAGCAAAATTGAATGCACTGAATAAAATATGATCCAATTTGCTTGTTGCTACATAACGTAGTTGATTGAACATATGTTTCAGACATATAAATATGTGCCTTCTTATTCTGGAAGCAAAAATAGATACTGCCAAAAATAAATAAATAAAAAAAAATTAAAAGTGTGTTGGCTGAATTTACAAATCTAATGCTTCAAGATATTTCAGATATTATACAATAATGTTTTTAAAACTGGTAGATTCTCATGTGTAGGAACCTTTGAGCACTCTTAAGTAAGATGTGAGGAGTTAGAAGAAATTATTGGAAGTTCCAAAATTATTCTTACAGTCTTAAGAAACTCCTTTAGTTATGATAAAAATGCATTAGAGAAAAAAAAAAAAAAAAAAAAATCATTATTCATGTCTTAGGTGATATGTCTCATCATTAGTTTCATTATATTCAAATATTTCAAAAGTTGTTTCTTAAATAAGACAGAACGTCTTTTTAGCTGCAGAACACTCTTGGAACATGTATGACCATATGATGTCTTTTAATTTACCCACACCTCTTTCTATTCATATTATTTTTGTCCTCTCTTTCCGAACGTTTCTTAGATTTTCCAATTAACAAGTGACTTTTTATTAACAGACCGCACCTAAAAAATATGTTCGTTATTTCTATTTACAGTACTTTGCCATTCTGCATAAGAAGACATGCCAAAATAAAAGGTGGAGCCACTCTTGAGTACTTGACCAACCTTATAAACAAATATTTCATGCAGGATTCACGGGAAGAAGTTATTCAGGCATGGTACATGGATGACAGCAACGAGGATCAGAGACTTCCTCATCATAGGAACCCAAAGGAATTTGTGTCCTTTGAAAAACTTGATGGTATGCATTATCCAGTTTCTATATCCATGACACAAAGTTTGCACTTTTTTTTACATTAATTATTTTTTTTGAATTTTCTGAGCTGTTTCTTTGTAATTTTCATAGAGCTTGGAGTACTTAGCTGGAGGTTAGATGCTGACAACTATGAAACAGATCCAGAGCTGAAAAAAATTCGCGAAGCTCGTGGATATTCTTACATGGTATGCTAGTTGTAAAGTCTGGATATTTGAGGATTTTTCTTTGTTCTTTTTTATTTGATATTTTTTCTTTGAAAAATGGTTATTTGTTTTCCTGTGTCATATTAATTGATTGATGGGACTTGTAACAAATGTCAGGACTTTTGCGAAGTTTGTCCGGAAAAGCTTCCAAACTACGAGGAAAAGATTAAGAACTTTTTTGAAGAACATCTGCACACTGATGAGGAAATTCGGTATTGTGTTGCAGGGAGTGGTGAGTGCATGATGGCTATAAGTTGAATCAGTGAAATTTAAGAATCTAACTGATTTTATTCTCACAATGTAAAAGTAAATATATTCTTTTAAAGGTTATTTTGATGTGCGTGATCGTGATGAGTCTTGGATCCGCATTTGGGTGAAGAAAGGGGCCATGATTGTCTTACCAGCTGGGATTTATCATCGTTTTACACTTGATTCAGACAATTATATCAAGGTAAGGATAAGAGGAGCATGTGTTGAGCTTCTGCAAACCAGGATGCTTGCTTCAAACTAGTTTTAGATGATGACACAAGGGATCAATCATTGTTTTTTCTGTTGGGCTTTCACTTTTTGTTGATTCTTTGTTTACTATTTTTTGATATTTTGAACTTTTGGGTTCATATTTGAAATTTGTTGATACTTGAGAACATTAGCATAATAATACGAGATGCATTGTTGATTATTATATTTTTATATGCAGGCAATGCGGCTGTTTGTTGGTGAGCCTGTATGGACCCCATATAATCGCCCTCATGATCATCTTCCTGCTAGGTTTGGTTTTTATTTTCTCAATATTTAATCCAATCCCAAATCTTTAGCGTGTGGTGATACTAATCAACGATAAATACCTGGCAAAAGGATTTTAAACTAAAATGTCCAATCACCTAACAAGAATTTTAGTTACAAAACCACCCTTACCTGCTACTGACGAAAAGACCCAATTGTTGTAAAATATACACCTTTTCTTTTGTTTCTCTTTTACTAATTGCTCCGTCAAGAGTAAGGTATTTGTTAAGTTAAAAAAAACCCTCCCCCCAGTCTGAAAGAATAAAAAAAGTGAGAGGTGTTTGCATCACTTGGAGGTGGAAATATAAGAATTCTTGAGTTGCAACACAACTTCTTCCTAATCAGGCATACAGCTTTTGTAGTCCCTGATGAAGGAAGAAGTTGCGGACAAAGGATTTTAATAGTCCGAGGATACTTTATGTGCAGGAAACAATATGTTGAGACCTTTGTGGAGAAGGCTGAGGCTGGTCAAGCTGTTGATTCTGCAGCTTGAGAAAAGTTTGCGTCTTTTTTGCATGGAAAATAATTACCTGGGAACGTATAAGCCTGTACGGACTTATAAAAATCATTGTGTGAACTTTATTTGAAGAGCCATGTTGTGTGATATATTATGAGCTTGTCCTAATAATAATCGACCCTATGTTCTGATTTTGTGAGACTTGCTTGACTAAGATATGTATTTGGTCCATAACTTGGTATTGTATACTAGTACATGATTTTCCTTTAAACCTGTGTTTTCTGCTTTTCGTCATGACTGAGTTTTGCCATCTTGTACATCCCCACGTAGTTGCCTCAGGCAACCTGTCCCAATAGCTTTGTTTAATTTTGGTTTAAAAATTGTTTTTTGATTTTGGGGCAGCTGTTTTGGAAATCTATTGATTGTGATTACGCGAGTGATCTAATGAGCAGTAATGTTGGTGATCACGTGTAACAGCATGCAAAGAAGCATGCAAATTCCGCTTTACCGACAAGCTAACATTAGTTATTAGCGGATTGCATTAGTTATTTTGACTGACGGATTGCGTTAGCTATTTTGATCAGTTGATCGTGTTATATTGGTTTGTGAAAAAATGTTTGGTAAATTAGCTATTTTACTAGATAAATACTTGGGTAGCAATTATTTTGGAGAACCCTAATTCCTCTCCCCTCTTTTCCTCCACCGCCTAGCTCCTCCTCTCTTTCTTCAGTTGCGCCCCCCTTTTTTCCGCCACCGCCTAGCTTCTCCTCTCTTTCTTCAGCCGCGCCTCCCCTTCTTCCTCCGGTGACCCATAGCTCCCACCCCACTGCTCCTTCTTCGTCTGGGCCCTGAGGCTAATGGCCCGTCCGCCTTCCCTGTGCTGCACCTTGAGGCGCCTCCGGTCATGGCCGTGAGCGGGAGAGGGCCAGCGGCACTCGAGCCGAGCAGCCCTTTCTCGGGCCGACTTCAGTGTCGCTGCTTTGTCTTGATGCCTCTACCCTGGTCCGACTGATTTCGGTGTCGTGGCCGCAGCTTCGCCCGGCCGGCTTCGCTGCCGTCCCCTCCAGGTTGGTGACCATCCGACTGGTTTTGCCACCGGATTGTGTCTCCTAAGGATGCGCGTCTGGTCCTCAGGTGTTGCTCGAAGTCGATCCATTTGAGCCTCCTTTCGTGATCGAGCAGTGACTTCGGGCTTTCGGATCTAGCGTCGGTTTTATCTAGCCGCTTCCGTGGAGCTTTTAGGTTAGGGGTCCGATTCTGTTGCACATTAGGTTTTGTTCGTGGTCTGTTATTTGTGGTAGCTGACTTCGTTCCCGTTTGGGTTCTGTTGTGGGTTGCTGGTAGTAGTTGGGGAGGTAGTAGTCTATAGTTAGTTTAGGTGCGTGTTTGTTTTTTTTTTAGTGGGTGTTCTCCACTTGTTGGAGTATTTAGTTCGGTTCTGTTGAGAGTTGGGCTCCAACGGTTCGGGCTCAATGCTGTTGCCATTGCCGGATTATCAGCGACGAACAGCAGCAAGGGAGTACTTAGTTTGATTTTGAATTGGCCACTAGCCGCGTAGGAGTTGTCAAGTGGACCTTTCACAGAATCATCATCGGATTGAACAAGGCTCGATATAATTGACCTGTAGTTAGATCTGAGGGCGACAATGTTGAGAGGGCGAAAGCCAGGCCTATGACGCTCCAATTCATTGGCGGATTGGATACGAGGTTTCTCTATGAGGTCTTTACATTGAGCTTTAAATGATTGAAATGTATTCCTCTCTCTTGTTTTCCGCGAAAGGAGAAAGCCCAGTTGTTTTTTGTTTTTCTAGGGTGCCACGGTTAACATCTCCCTTGATTCCACCTCTTTGGTGCTATTATAAGGGCGAGTGCCCTTCGGTCTTCATTGTAAAATCTCCTTTTTTGAAGGATTATTCTATCATTTCGAAAAAAAAAATAGCTATTTTAATTAGTTGTTAACATGTAAAATTACTTATAAAGACATCAACATATTTTATCATTCTAATTTAAATTTCTGATGAACTTATAATTATTTAGGAAATGGAAATAATTAATACTTTAAATATTTATTAAAGCGATTTGAATATGATAAAAATACAAATAATAATAAAATAAAAATATTTCATAATCGAGCAGAAAAGATTTACGCCATATAAACAAAGTCAACACCAAGTCATCACTAATTTAAAATATAAATATGAGTCAATTGCAATATCTATTATTATAATTAAAAAGACACTTTTAAAAGAAAAAAAAAAAAGGAAAAACAAATGCTCTAAGAACGACATATGGATGTCATTAAACTTGAAGCTATATCATTACGAACGTTTGCCATCTCCCGAGTCCTCATTCCCCATCACCTTGTGCATAATTATTTTCAACATCGTGGAACACATCAGGAGGTATGAATTAAGGATTAACATCAATAACTCTAAAGCCCGGTGTAACAATTAATTTTTTGAAAAACATAAAACTTTTGTACAACTTGATTTATTTTGATAAAACAATATTGTGAACACAATCTCTATTTATCTCCTTTGATTCTTCTCTTCTTGAATTGGAGTTTGGATATTTCGAAGCTGGATTTGACGGTTGGATCTCCTTCATGCTTGAGCTTGAACTTGTCTAACGTTAATTGGGGGGTCGAATGACTTGATCCGTATTAAATGTTATGACTTGATTTGATTGAAGACGACTTCTTGGAAAACTTGTTTTTTGATCTTCTTGAAAGGGAGATTTTGACTTTAATAACCTTGACTCGAGGGCTTGATAGTTGTTTCCCGGATCAAACGTTATGTTGGTTGAACTTCTCAATGAATGCGGCTTGAATATTGTTTGAACGTCATTGATACTTTTGGATTTATTTGAGATAAGTGAATATCGCCTCTTTATTTATTGGAGAATAGTCGCCACCTTGTTTTTTTCTTGGCCTTCTTCTCCATTAAACGTACTTTGAAGGCTAGGGCGCTTGATTTCGGATTGAATGTTGATCTTCAACTTCTTGGATCTTCAAGAACACCTTTGAATCTTCAAGATAAACTTCTTAGATCTTCAAGAGAATTTTGAGAGTTCTTAAACTTGAGACTTTGATTTATAAGGTGTGATTTGTGGCTTTGAGGAGAGCCTTATTTATAAGTGTAGGATAGAGGGTCTTGAAGAAGAAGATATCAATTTGATTGGTCCTTCATGATTTGATATAATCTCTTTTCTTATCCTAAGATTTGTCCTTATCTTAAGATTTGACTTGGTGGACAAGAAATAACAACTTTATTAATTATATATCTTATTTCTTCTAGATTTATGTCCAAAAATAAATAGACATTATCTAATAAAATATCAAAATTTCGATGTCTATACCCGGATCACCAATTGTGCTTCTTCGAATGTAGTTGTTAAGTGCAAAACATGAACAAATGATTCTATTTTGATCCGTTAATGAATATCTTGGCATTTTATGCAATATCTTCCATCGAGCTTTAAGAACACCAAAAGCCCTTTCAATGCAACTTCTTAAAGATGAATGAGCCCGGTTAAAAATTTCTTGAGATTCCCTCGGGTTTGGACTACAAAACACAGACTGATGATATCTGGTCTTGGTGTAAGGCATTAAATAACTTTCTCTTTCTTGGTAGCTTTGTGTACCAAGTAATATTTACCTAAACGTACATAAGTTATACTAGAATTAAATTTACGTGTGAGTGTGTTTGTGTATGTGTGTGTGTCTGTGCGTGCAACAATGCATGTAATGATAAGTGAGTGTGTTTGTGTGTGTGTGTCTTTGGACCAATAAACTCTACCTCCTTTGTTATCTTTTTCATCCCATTCACTTCCTTCAAGATTCTTTTTAATAGGGGTTTTCATCTAAACACCAAATAAATTTCAAAGCAAAAATCAGATTAAATCGAATTTTGAGAAGTTATCAAGTACACACAATTATTCACTCAGGGGTCATGCATAATTGCTATAATTTCACCAATAATTTTACTCATGGGTCAAGGCCATGCTATAACTTTCTTGGATGTTGTCCCATAATACTAAAAATCCCTCAACATCAAGAGGAATTCAATAAATTATTGTGTACATGTTTAGTTTATCTTGGCAATTGTTTGTCTTTCAAGTGGCTTATCATGCACAAAATAATTTGGTTCCCTTTTCAACTCAAATTGTATTTTGCATTTGTTTTTATTTTCTTCAAATGTTGTTACGATTAGATGTTAGCATTATTTTAGTTGCTTTATTTTTTGGACCTGGACTGAGAACTCACTAATAAGTCGAGGAAGCCAAGCTTGACACATAAACAAGGACTGATAAATTGGGTTCAAGAGAAACCATACAAAATGACACTTGGTTATTGTGTGATTGTTGTTTATCCCTACAGAAATATTTTAAAATCATGTAAAGCAAACAGAGATGGAAAAAGTCATCCACATCACAAACACAACTCATCCACATCAGTAAAAACTAAAAACCCTTTCCTGGATTGAATCTTTTCTTGGCCGATTAGACTCTTCAAAAATTATGTAGCAAAACTCATGAAAGATCGAGTAAAACACATATGCAACCACATGATATTCAGTAAAATCCTCCAAATCACTACGTAAAGCTAATCTAAAAATATGCACAATCAGAAAAAGAACCAGTCAATTATGTCTCTCCTAGAAGTTGGTTAGCTACCTCGCATGTGTTCTAGGATTCTTCTTCTTCTTCGTAGGTCATTTGTGGCATGCGGGAAGAGCTCGTGCAGCTGTAGCAGGATTTGAAAAAGAAATTGATCGCGATTTTGAACCTATTCTTTCTATGACCTCTCTTAATTGAGATGAGACAGAAGATCCAATGCTTGAATTGAAGTAGGAATCGCTTTGATTCCAAAAGTAAATAAATAAGAAAAAAAAACATCGAAAAATAAACTTGGAACTCAAACAGCTTCCCAGAGAACCAAGAACCGAAACTTGAGAGTGCAAGATAACTCTCTCTCTCTCTCTCTTTGTCTCGCTTCTGAAATTGTGAGGAGAGAAAAGAAGGGCAATCAAGACTTTCGATTTTTATATACGCAAAGCTGAATCAAAACATTTGTAAAAGAAGCAACATTTTTAATTTGGCGGATGGACCCAAAAAGCTATATGTAACAGCTATTTACCAAATACTTTTTTTAACTGATTAAAAAAGTCAAACAGGTAATGGATGAAAAAGCTCTTTTGAGAGCAAAAAGTTGAAAAACAAACGGGGCCAAATGAAATGCGTGATCTCACTTTTAATTAATTAATATATGATAAAATGTGTTGAAGATTATATTTTGCATTTAATTTATAAGTTCAACTTTAATACTATTTCATAATGCATCACACAAGTATGTAAGTCTTATCTTAGTTAATATAAGTATCTGTCTTAGTTAATTAATTTATGTAGCCAGCGATGCACGATAGGAAAGGCCGAGCTTGCTTGAGTGATAGATGCTTCACCTACGACCCATACGTCTTGAGTTTGAGTTACTAAGGAGGAGAAGTGAGAACACTCCTACAAACCCGTTTTGATTTTTTCGTCCTACAAACCCGTTTTGATTTTTGATATGGGAAAAGAGGAAAAAAAAAAAAATTCGTCCTACATAACCATTTTGATTTTTGATATGGAAAAAGAGGAAAAGAAAAATATGAAATGAGATAAAGTTTGAGATAAGTCCGAGGGCAATATCGTCAAAGTGCATGGCTTGTGCTGTCCCTCTGTCTCTGTTAAATGTTAACCATCGTCAAGTCGTAATAATATTCCTCGTATCAAAACTCCATTCTCCATTTCAGATCTAACCACATTTTTTACGCGCAATCATATACAAAATCCGTTCGTATTGGCGTTGCTACAAATACAGGATGGGCGGAGTGCCATCAACGCCTCGACTCGCCGGCGGAGCACGGCCGCACGAGACGGCCGAGTACTTGATTGGCGAGTTCGTCGGTGAAAAATCTTTTCCTCTCGCGTCCGATTACTGGCAGAAGCTTCTCGAACTCCCTCTCGACCTCCGATGGCCATCGCACCGGGTCCGACAAGCTTGCCAACTCCTCGGTCAGCGCATTGTCCCTTTTGCTCGTCCTTTTTCAATGAAGAAATGTTCTCCTTTAGTTTCTTATAGTCATTGAAATTGTGGGGTCTTGTGTTTTTGTGCTTAACTATTGTAATTTTAGCGTTAGTTAGCTTCCCGCCTGTGCCTTGAGCATTAGCTGTTCCGAATTTGCTTCTGAAAATTAGATTTGATATCATGATACATATATATTTATTTATTTTTAGTAGCTTTTACTCGAGTGATTTTAAATTTGTGTCATCTAGTGTCGGTGTGAGTATCTCTTGTCCTGGTCTTGGTCTTGAGAACAATCCCTGTAAGATATATTCTATATGCCCTTCAGAACCTTTGTTGCCTGATTTCTGCTGTCGTGGGAGATGATGATTGTAGAGATTAAATGTCTTTTCCTTTCATTGCTGAGTTTAATTGTTAGCTTTTGATGATATTTGCCCAAAACGATGTAATTGAAGTTAATTAGATGCCAATAGTTTCTTTTAGTTTAGGCTGCTGGACTATGCTCTGGTCTAGGGTGAACTGAAGCTCCAGATAGCGTCTCTTATCCCACTTTCTGGTTATTAGGTTGAGGAAATTTGTTTTCATTGGTATTGGAAGCTACTTCTGTATCGTTCCAGCATAATGTGAAGTTTTCCCATAATTTTTCATGGACGCTTATTGATTGGGAAAAATTAAGAGAAATCCACTGTGGTATATGTTAGCAGTATTTTATGGTCTATACATTTTTACTAGATTATATGGGATTGGTTCTCATTTGATTATGTTTGTGCAATGCAGCCAAGAACAATTATAGGACGAGGCACCTTGCGAAAATTTTGATTCACTTAGCTTGGTGCTTGCAAGAGTGTGTTTCTGCTTCTGATATGGTGTCCCTTGCTTTCTCAAAAGCTCTAAACGCTCTGTTTGTATCATTTGTTTTTCTGAAGTATTTAATTGAAACTTCTAAGAGTGAAGAGTTTGAAGAACTATACTTATCGCTGGACGAAACTGATTCACTGCCCAGTAATTTTCCAAAAGGTTTGCCTTGTAGCTATGGAAAATCTGTTCTTTTTTTTTCTTTTTCTTTTATGGTGTTCATTACTTGATTATATTTTACTCGTCCATGGTGACTGTAATCTTTAAATTGAAGTACAAATCATTACGACCAGCTTTAACTTTATTGTTCTTATAATTAACTGTGTAAGTCTTGTTCATGTGTGTTTCATTGGAATATATTTTGAACAGAACATATATGGTAATAAATGTCATATCCTTCCGCTGTCCCCCTGACACAGTAGTCTGAAAAGCCTAAGGAAACATGTTGAAATGAATGTCTCAGTGAACTCCACTGTTTGAAGAAAATTCTTAAGATCATATGCATCTGTCCTTTTATATTTTACAGAATTCATGTTGATACTCCAACAAAATTTGGAACTTGGAAGGCAGTAGATCCTCTGTATACTTAATAAAAACATGTGCCTCGAGATGAATGCAGGACTCATTTACTTAAACTGAAGTAAAGCAACACCTAATACATCTAAAGATTGTATAAGATCTGGATAATATATTTATGGTTGGAACCAGAAGTTCTGATACTAAATGTGGTTGTACTTGATATTAGAGGATCTCCAATACAACTCCATCTCTCCTAAAAATGTTACCTTTCTCATTTGATGCCCTGTAAAACTTTCATATCGCAGCCTGTGGCAATGAATAATGAAGACCTCAATGTTTTTCACATTCATCATCTTTTTCCAGGACAATTCAAAGCAGTTGTTATACTTGACTTCGTTCCCTTGTGTTTTTCATTTCCAAAGCAGATCAAAATGTTGAAAACCTCATCATGTGCAGTGTGCTCAACTTTATTGGCAAAGTTGATGTGAGGTATGTTATGATTATTGAAATATGCCTCTTGAGCAACACCACCCCCCTTGAGCTTCTGTGTCATTGATATGTATATATAATGGCAATTATTTTTTCTACAGTCCTGGAACATATCTTCTGCACCAAGAACTGCTTAACTTTGTACTGATTGCCATGTCTACACAACTTCGTTCTGGACCCACGCCAGGATCAAATGATAGGCATCCTTTTATTGATGCTGCAATGTCTCAGGTAATTTAATTAACTTATCATGCTTTATTCTGATTGCAGTTTTCTTCTGGACTAATGGGATGATTTTTCTGCAGGAAAACTCTTTGGTTAATTTGGTTGTTCGCAAGTTATTGCTCAATTACATAACACGTCCAGAGTTTCCTGCAAACACCTCATATACCATGATATTATCTGAAAAAAATCAGTCTGGTGTTTTAAGGAGAGTTGGCTCTGCAGCTGGTATGATGACGTCCCACAACGTTTATTTTAATTAACTCATAGGTAGATACGTCGGCTTCAGTTATTCTGTTGAATCTTTTGTCTTTTGGGGGATTATACTTTGACAATTATAGTTTATTATAGCTTTCTTGAAATGGGTGGTTATTATGTTGAGTCATTTCACGTTTAAGATCTGGAATCTATTATGTGGCTCTGATTGTATTACTGGTTTATATGGAATCTATTATGTGGCTCTGATTGTATTACTGGTTTATATTCTAGTGTCGTATTTTGTGAATTTTTAAACACTTCTGTTGGCAAAATTATAGTTTCCATGATTTTATCTTTTTTATCCTAGTATTAATTTTTATTCTTTGACGTGTCCTTAGATTGAAAAGGGACATCAGAGATATTGTCAACTTGGGATTTCATACTTAAAAAAATGCATGTTTCCGTTTCATGTTGCAAGTCTAACTATTTTTGCCTTTAGTTCATCATCTTTCTGACCAAACTATAACACATTTTTGCAGCAAGCTTGATGTTGTTGCCCTTCAATTACTTAGTTAACTCCTCTGGTGAAGCTTCAAGAAGTCTGTTGTCCGAAGGCAGTCTTAATGCTTTGCTCATTCTTAGTTATTATCATAAATGTAAATCTGTCGACTATGTGAAGTGTAAAGATGATAACAGCAGTTCCGAGTACCTCCTAAAGGAAGAAGTATACTTTTCTGAAAATCCTTTCCGTAAAGCGCTGGAAAATGCCCAGGATATTGAATGTACAGTCCTCTATTTTTCCAGATCCAGTAGTTGTTTGATTGAAGATTTCATGATAAATAACAATGGTCTAAGGTTCTGAATGGTCTGTCTGCAGTTGATCGGGATGATACTGAGGCAAATGCTCGCGGTGGCCCGCTTGTTAGATTACCTTTTGCATCTCTTTTTGATACCCTTGGCATGTTAGTCTTTCCCTTACCATTTTCTTTACAACTTGGTGATTTATTCTGTGTTCTGTATAACATTTTTTTGTTGAATCACTTGCATTCTTTGAAGTTGCAGATTCTAGGGTTTCCTACAGCTTGGTGTCTCAGCCAAATGAAGAAA